GGGAGGAAGAGGACTGGAATGAGCTGGGCTGAGATACCTATCAGAGCAGAGAGCGCCATTAGGAGGGAGGGCAGGCCCGGAGAGGAGTCTGTGCCGTGCCCAGGGAGGGCACGACAGTCAGTGTTAACAGAAAAGAGCGAGACAGTGGGAAGTCAGGCGGTGGAGCTGGGCTGGACAGAGAAAAGAAAGGAAGCGAGGAAGGAGACTGGCTAACATGTGAACAGGGGAGAGAGATAAGTGACACACACTGGGCCAAATTACATGGGTTCCCACAGATTTACTTTTATGAGATTTGCTTTTTATGAGATTTAGTATGCCACATGGATTGCACTTTTGGTAAAAACAACTGTTCACATAAAAACCTTTACAAGTCCTTCTCAAAGAACAGGCCTTCTGACTAGTTGACACGAAAGATTGCTCCTTAACTAACTCGTCTGAATGCACTCTCTTTGCCTTGGATGCCAAGTCTCTCTGAGGGAAGTTTTACACTTGGTTTTTGTATCCTTCGCTAGGATGTCTGCTTGTAATTTTACCACCACACTGCCCCCACCCCTTTTTTTTTAACCTCATGTTAAAGGTATTTATCCTAGGCCCGTGACTTTATTAGGAGCCACTGTGATTAAATTTTGGAAGGAAGTGGGGTACCAAGAAACAATTAAATGAAATAAATAAAAGGGCCATTGGAGGAGTACAAAACATAGATGACAGAAATACTGCTTACACATGCTAACGGATGGGGGATAATAACGGAACAAATAATGGGAAAGTTACCTCTGCAGATTTACAAACTGCTTTTAGGACATTATGAAATCATTGTCCCTAGTCTTCTATCTTTAGGCTGTCAGAGGAATTTAAACCTGCTCTGCTGATGGTCACTAGAACATCAGGAGCCAGATGCCTTTCCCAAGGTCACACAGTGATAGAGTGGAGAGGGTCAGGAAACAGAGAAGGAATCTTTTGATACAATGGAAATAGTGAAGCTTTGGAGTCAGAGGACCCTGGATTTGAATACCAGTTCTGATACCTATTGGCATGTGACTTTCAGTAAGTCGGGCCCCCTTTCTGAACGGTGGTTTTCTCATCTGTGAAATGAGAACAATACCTACCTGAGAGGGTTGTTAGAATAAAATGAGGGAGTAGCCATAAAGCATCCAGTGTGGGACCTGGAATATGGCGGTACATAGAAAGTGCCACCATCGTTAGTTGGGGTACTATTCCTTTCACTACCCTGGACAGACAGTGTGCTCCTGTTGTCCTTTATCCCTGTCACTCTCCTATCTTCTGCTTGTCACCTCTCTCCGGCTCCTAAACCCTGCTTGACCAGTGTTTCAGAGTTAGAAGGAGGAGGTGGCCTTACCGGTAATAGGAAGTCGGCCGGGGCGGGGCATCAGGGGTGTCCTGCTCCAACTCCCGGTATACCACCTCTGGCAGCTTGGGAGTGGTGCTGGCAGAAGCATTATGGTGGTGGTGATGGTTGGAGTCTTTGCGCTTCTCCTTGTTCTTATGCTTGCCTGACTTGGGAGTCGCAGCCGGTGTCTCAGTGTTCTCTTTGTTGCTGCCATTCTCAGGAGCCTCCTCGGGGGCCTCCTCATCCTCTGACACCACATCCAGGTTGTCAAAGATGCTGATGCGGTGTACACGGCCATGCAGGTCCACCTCCACCATGCGCTGGGCCTGTGCATAGCTCATCACCTCACGGCCCGGTGACTGGGATACCTCTGAGGGGCTGGGTGATTGCTTGTTGGCTGGGCGTGATTGGCGCCCCTTCTTCTTGTGCTTGCGGAGTGGAGTCTGCTGTGGGGGCGGTGGGTTGTCGTGGTCATAATGGTACAGGTGGTACTCGATACCACTGTAACTCTTGTAGACCTTGCGGCACGTCTCCACGGGGCACTCATATGGTGGCTTGGTTGCCCGCAAGTTGTGGCAGAAAGTCTTCACGTCAAAGTCCACCCCCATGCTGTCACATCTAGAATTTACAGGTCAGTTAGCATAGGCCTAGAAAGAGTTCCTGGCCATTAACTTCACTCCCTCCAACCCTCCCTCCCCACAAGGATCCTGGCCAACCCACCTCCCGTGTCTTCACATGCCATCTCCTCCACACCACGGCCACAGTCTGGGCTTCATCACCTCTTGCCTGGTCATTCTAATCTATGTCTCAACTCTTCTAGCCAAATCTTGCATAATGTAGCAAGAGTGATCTTTCTACTAAGTAGCAACAGTCATTTCAATCTCTTGATTAAAAGCCTCCCGATGCTCCCTTCTTACTTCAGGATATCAAATCCCCTATGATGACATGCCAGGTGCTCTTTTCACTATCTGGCCCTAGTCCTCCTTTCTAGACTCTTCTTTTCACCAGTTACAGTTGTGTTTCTGTCTATCCAGGGCAATTATCAGTCGCTGAATGTTATAACCTCTCATTCCTGGAAATGATCTCTATTTGGAATGCCTTCCATCCTCTCTGATTGGTGAGCTCCTACTCATTCTTCAAAACCCAGCTCAAATGTCACTTCTTCTGTTATTTCTTTGTCTCTCCTATGGGGAGCTGTGTTTCCATAGCATTCCATTCTTACCTCTTTGTCTCCTACTAGACTGAGAGCTGTTCAAGTGCAGACACCAGAGCCTACCCACCTCTATATTCCCAGGAGCTAGAATGTTGTGGACACTGTTTTTGGCAAATGAATGAATAACATGTTGAATGAATAGCTAAATGAGGAGATCACCAGATTTGGAGCTGAGAGATGAAGGCTAGTGTTAGCCCATGTAGAAACTTGAAATGGGTAGCCAATGATTTAGTTCTAGCTCCAGCAGAAGTAACTGGATTATAGAAAGAATTTGTTCATTTCTGAGATTTTCAGGGGAAGCCTATGCCCTGGCCCTGGCCATGGTACAGGCCCTAAAGGTACATACAAGAAGGCAGTCCAAGCACTCTCAGCTCCATGCTGGTCCTCAGGGCCCTCCCTTTCTCCTCTCCAGTGTGCCTAGGTGAATGGAGACAGCAGATGGCACCAGCCCCCAGGAAGCCCAGCTTGGTCAGAGACTGTCCCAGTTTCTCCAGGCTTAGTGTGGAATTGAACAATTCAGCTAGGGGCTTGGCACCATTCCAGGCAGTGCCACCCTGAGCTCCATGACAAACAATGACTCCTCTAGGTCTCGCTCCTCCTGTTACTTAACCAAGCAAATGGGCTGCTTCAGCCTCTCTGTCAAAGTCCCTGACTTTCCACATCAGTAAAACTATTCCTTCAACTCTAGCTCGCTTCTACTTCCTTCCTACCTGGGGCTGTGTCTTGAAACACAGACCAACTGGAGGAACAAACAAGTTCTCCGCTTTCAATGAAGGGTCCCTGGTGAACGCTGCAGCTCTGCTGCCCTGGCTTCCCGACTCCCAAAGTAACACAGATCCCCAGGCAGATGTCCCGCTGGGACTCAACGGCAAAGGCACAGGGGAGGGATCAAGAACTTAGACCTGAAAGCCCGTGGGTAGGGCCCGGGGGCCCAGGGGTGTGGCAGCGGTGGAGCTCAAGGGGCTGGAGGAAGTAGGGGGCGGGGGCCGGAGGGATCAGGCTGGGCCCAGGCGGTGCCCGCAGCCCTCCCGGATGCGGCGACGTTTTCCTTTTGTCGAAGTGTAACAAGTTAAACAAGGCTCCCCGTCTTGCCATTGGCCCTGGCAGCCCCGAAGGATACAATTTTGCCCCAGGATGCCGGCTGGGAGTGAATGCTCTGTCAGTTCTCTCGGCTGGAGTGGCCCGAGGGGCACCCGGGCAGGGCAGCTCAGTGCGCCCCTACGAAAGTAGCCAACCCATTCCCCGCTGGCCACTCCCGCCCTGGTCCCAGGCCCGCACTCACCGGCCACCTCGAGTCCGGGCTCATCGCCGGGGCCGCCCGCCGGGGCTCCGACCCCACTTGGGGAGGCCGGCGGGGAAAGACGGGCCGGGGAGGAGGAGCCCCAACTCCGAAGACTGCAGACCTCGCCACCCCGGCCCCCTGCCGCCCCACGCTCTGGCCCCGGCTCCCCGGGATTCCCGCGCTGACCCCTGCCGCTCCGGGTCCCGCCGGCACCTCGGTGTCTCAACTCCGTCGGCCGCCTCCCGTTTCGAGAACCCCTAAGTTGCCGGGTCTCGGACCCGGCGTCGCCTGAACAATGGAGGCTCCCGGAGGCAGCGCGGGGTCGGCAGCGGCGGAGACGGTGGCGGCAAAGGCAGGGACAGCAGCGGCGGCGGCAGCGGCGGCGACGGCGTCTGCGCAGGGTAAACGTGGTGCCGCGGCGCTGCCGAGCTGCACTTTCGCCACAGAACCCCGCCCGCCCGCTGAGGCTCCAGAGCACATTCTCTGGGACTCCGAAGGGTCTCTGGACATTCCACAGGGTTTCTCTAGCACCTCCATCTTAGAGGTGAGTTTCTGGAAACTCGAGTCGCAGTACTTGCGATCCGGAGTGGTCGGGCCGTTTATGGCGAATCTGCGGCCACGGACGATGAACGCGGGTCTGGGCGTGAGGAGCCCGCCCTTCTCCCTTCCCCCTCAGCCTCCTCCCTCCCTTCACCCTCCCTACTGGTGGCGCCCGGGCTGCGGTAGGGACCTGGCCTTGGTCTCGGAAGAAGGCGGCGAGGCGGGGCCAGAGTCATAGGGCGGGGCTGGGGGCAGGGCCGGGAGCATGAGGGACGCGGGCTGGAGCCTAAGGGAGGCCCGGAGTTATGGGTAGGGGCGGGGCGGGACTGGAAGAGATTGAACCAGTGTAAGGGGCGGGGTTTACTGGGAGTGGGCGGGGCTATCTGTAGAGCGGGTCCTAGTAAGAATAGGGACTGAACGGAGGCAAAGGGTGGGGCTAAACTGAAGAGGGCCTCAGTAAAGAAAGGGCGGGGCTTTGGATGGGCCTGGAAAATGGAGCTGGGCTAGGGAGAAAGGATAGAACTGGGAAAAACGAGGCGAGGCTTGAAGGGGAGGGGCGGGGCTTGGATAAGGGAAGGGGGCGGGACTGGAGGGAAAGGGCGGGACCGAGTTAGGGACACCGGGGCGTGGCCGAAGGAAAGGGAAGAATCTTGGGTAAGTTAAAGGAGCGGGACTGGAATGAAAGTGTGGATCCGAAGGAAGGGGCCAGATCGGGAGAGGTGCAAAGGGTTGTTGGGGTGTGAAAGGGCTTGTGTACGGTAAAATGGGATTCAGATGCCTGGAACCCCGTAGGTTGGAGGGGAAAAGCATCATGGCTACAGGGATGCCGACTGGAAGATGGTTGAAAAGCAGACAGAACTGGTTTTAATGTGGCTGGGCCACTTAGTGGCTCTGTGAACTAGGGGAGGTTGTTAAATTCTCCCTACCTCAAATTCCTCATTTGTAAAGTGAATCTCCAAAGCTTTATTGTTAGTTCATGGGGGCCTTGGAGAGCTTAGGTTGCAGAGCGAGAGAGTTGTTCAACAATGCTTGTCGCTGAGCTTCTCCAGTTTTGCCATCAAGGAAGAGCGTGAAAGGGTATTCCATGGTTCTGGAACAAAGCCCAAAGAATCTGGGAGCTTCACTTTTATCTTAATGCATACTTTGCACTTGACACACTATAATGTATGTTTCCATATACAATGTCTTACAAAAAAATCTTTTTTTATAAAGATTTTTTTTATTGGGGAATTGGGGGAGGGGAACAGCGTTGGGGAATCAGGGAAGGGGAACAGACAGGTAGACAAATTGCTGTTTTGTTCTTCAGTCTAGTTGTGGAGGATGTCGCTTCACTGGCCCATGTTGTTATGATCTTTGTGCTCTTCCCAGGTAAGGCAATTGGTCACCGGTCATTGGTCGGCCGCTCACAGCAGCTCTCACCTGCTGCTGGCCGCTCACGCTGGCTGCCAGCCACTCAATAGCTCACGGCTACCCACTGCAGTCCTGCTGCAGCCTACGCCGTCGCCGGCGACTCACAGCAGCCCAGCTCCAGGTCTAGCTGTTGTTCATCATCTTAGCTGTAGAGGGTGCAGCGTCACTGGCTCTCAATGTGGGATCCGAATCGCAGCCCTGCTGCTCAGAGCTGGTGCTCCCAAGCGAGCTCTTAACCAGCTGAGCCACTCGGCTGGCCCCCAAAAAACACCTTAATAAAATTTACACTCGAGGAAGATATTTGCTAGTTAAGATCTTGGGATCTGGAGTCAAACTGATGAGTTCTCTTCAACAAGTGACTTCATCTCTCTGACACTGTTTCCCTGTGTGTAAAATGAATATATAGTGCCTACTTCACAGGATTGTTGTGAGGATTAAATAAAATGATGCTTATAAGTCACTTAGCATAGTGTGTGATATGTAGTGAATACTCAAAATATTAGCTATCTTTTATTATCCTCACTCAAAAAAAGAATGGGTCAGAGCAGAGACATACAGAATCATCTTAAAGTCAACTGCTTTTGAGGTCAGGAACTCCTGACCTCATGGCCTCTCAAAAAAAAGCACACACACACACACACAGTTTTACTTATCGTTTCTGAAAGTGTTTAAAGAATGTCTCAGGAAACGATCGGATGAATATGTATTACGATGGAGATGAATCCTAGCTGAAGCCATCCTTGCTACCCCTCCTCCTCTTGGTGTGGTGCCAGGTCCTCGGTCCCCCGTCTCCCTCCCCAAGACCAATGAGACAGTGGTGGAGTAAAGATCAGCTTTATTATTGGCATGAAGGCAGGGAGGTGTTGAGAGTGCCAGGCCCTTCTGTGGGTGAAGGGGCACAGGGCTTGACCAGTCAGCACTGATCCTCCAAGCTGGCCTCCCAATGAGTTCCAGGGCTCCAGATGCCTCTGGCTTTCAGCAGAAGCAGTGGGTGGGCATGTGGGCAGATTGTTAGGCATTGGATAAGTAGACTCCTCAGGGCTGCTCAGGAGCTGGGGTCGGGCTGGAGTTGGCAGGGGGTCGAGGCTGGATGTCCCTGGTGCGCATATAGGACAGCAGCTGCTCCGGGATCTCTGCCAGCACGTCCTTGGCTAGTCGAGCCATGCTCAGCACCTGGTTCCCTGATCGGTCGACATAGTCTCGGAATGGGACAAACTGGGACAGGCACAGATAATCAAGTATGAGTGGTGGCCAAGAGAGAGGGGAGTGGAGGAGGGGGGCAGTAGGGAGGCTTCCTCTATGACCCCCTAACATTTCTTTACAAATATCACACTGTCTCCCTCCACTTACCTTGGACAGTTCTCTACATTTGCTTTCTTTCTACCCACTTTCCCCCTCACCCCCCACCCTCTATTTACCCTCAACCCACTTCAGTTTGGCTTCATGCAGTTTACTGAAGTGGCTTTTGCTAATGTTGTCAACAGCCCCAATGTACCCCAGTCAGTCCAGCGGGCAGTAATTGTCAGTCCTCATTTTTCTTCTCTTCAGCTTTCCATTATGACATTTGACCATAGTCTTCCTGGACACATCCCCACTCCTGACACACCACTCTCCGCTGAATTTTCTCCTACCTTTCCGGATGCTCCCTTTCCCTCCTCCCCTATTCCTCTGGGTCTACCTGATCTCTAAACTGGTACACTTCAGTAACTTTAAAAACTGTTCCCTGATGACTCCCAAGTTTATATATCCATCCCTAGCCTCTTTTTTAAGGTCCAGAACCACATACTTAGTTGCCTGTATCACATCTCCATTCAGTTGTCTTACATATCTCAAACCCAATGTGTTCACAACTGAATTCTAGCCATTCCTGCCAAATCTGCTCCTCCTTCAGCTTTCCCTTTCCCAATAAATGGGACTCTCACTCACCAGTTGCCCAAGCCAGAAAACTGAGAGTCATCCTTGAAGTCCCCCTCACTCTCCATCACCATTTAATTAAGTCATCAAGTCTTGCAAAATGTTTCTTAAATAATCATTTGAACCTGCTTCTTCTACCCTCACTGCTTCCATTCCCATCCAGATTCCTATCATCTCCCCTCTACTACTTCAAAGGTTTCTTCACTAATGGGGCTACCTGCCTTCTCTCTCACTCTGCTTCAGTCCACCCTCCATGAAGCAGAGATCCTCTTAAAATGAAATTCTGACCATCTCACTCCCCTATGTAAAATCTTTCAAGAGCTTTTCAATTCTTTTAGAATAAAACCCCAAATGTTCACCATGACTGACAAGGCCTTGGCTCCCCCTTTCTCTCATTTGCTGTGATCCTGCTACCCTGGCGTCTTGCCTTTTCCAGGATTGGGCCAATTCTTCTGAGCCTCAGGGCCTTCTCATGTGCTGCTCCACTGCCTATAATGCTTATACCCTCCTTTAAGGTTTAGCTCAAATGTCATTTCCTCATGAAACCTTCCCTGACTACCCTACCTAAGACAGGTCCCTGATATAGGCTTTCATAGTGGCATTTGCTGTTCTCTGGAGCACTTGTCACAAGTTAGTGAGATCTTTAGCTGTGTGGTTATTACTGGTTGCCTCCACTAGAGGGCAGGGGCCTTGGGGATCTCCTATACTATGAATCAATCCACAATGGCTGCAGCAACCTGCCCCTTTCTCACAAAGATTTTGTTCAACGAATGCAGGAAGGCTGAAAGAGTGAGGGGGAGAAAGGTAGGTGATTAAGAAGGCAGTAAGGTAGAGTGGCTGCCAACTTGGTGTCTCCTTCCCACCATGCCTTTCAGCTCCATGACTTCCTCTCCCTGGCCAGGTCTACCTGAACGATGTCCCGCTCTGCGTAGCGTCCTCTCGAGGATACGCGAACATCATCACCATCCAATTCTTCCATTGCTGCAGAAAAGACACCCCTCAGCTGATTGGCCTCTCCCACATCAACCCATGCTTCCCCCCTCCCTCTTAGTCCCACTTCGAAGTCATGAGAATGCCTAATGGTTATATCAAAAGTCCTCCAATTATTAGGCATTATTATGGAGTTACTATGCTTTCCCACACATTCCATCCTGGGAATCCCTCGGTTATGATGAGGAAACAGGTTCAGAAAAGGTCTGTGACCTTTTGGTCAAGGTTCAACACAGGCATCCATCCTATCTTTTTTGTGAGGTAGGCCTGGGTGCCCATGTTCTCCCCTGTTTTCCCCAGTTCTTGGTCCCACTCATGGACAACCCCCATCCTACTCACCCTCAAACATGGCTGGTCCCACACCAACAATAATGATAGACATGGGCAGTGAGGAGGCCTGTGAGGGAAAGAGGGTGAATGGCTGTGGTGAGCAGCTACAAGGGAGGTAACTGTTGAGAGACAATTCTCCGTGCATGTGTCCCATTTTTGTACACCTTGCAAACAGAGGCACTGATTCCCTTTGTCCAGACTATCTATTCAAGAATGCCTGCATATCAAACAGCTTTGAAAGATATAGTATCTTCCTTTAGAAAAGGGCAGGTTTGTTTATTGTCCAGTATGATAAAATGTCTTACACTGGAACAAAGGGCAGGCATGCTTACTGCCCATTATAAAAGATTTGGGTTCCCTAAGTTTAGGGGGTTTGTGTCCTATAATGCAATCGACTGTGAGTGCAGGTGTTATCTGGCCCTCTTCACATCATCTTGTGGGAACTGGGACTTAGAGAATCAGAGAAAATGCTGATCCTCAAGCTACTGCTATTGCTGGGAATAACAAAGTCCTTTGTCTCTGATTCACTAGTCTTGTATCTTCTGCCAGCATCCATGAAACTGGCTAACTTGTTAGCTTGCAAGTTGGATAAAATCTGAACCCCTTCACAGCTGTTAACAGTGACCTCTCCCGGCCAAACCCTCCTCCCCAGACTCACACTGACAATGGCCTCCTTAGTCTGTGTCATGTCAGAGATGACCCCATCGGTGATGATAAGCAGAACATAGTACTGGGAACCATCAGAGATCTTTGCTGCAGCCCTGGGTGAGAGGCCAAGAGAAGAATCCAGCTGAAAGCCCAGAGAAGCCAAAGGAAACACCCCACCCCTGGCTCTTCTACAGCCAGTGTGTAAGCAGCAGGCAAGGACTGGAGCTTCTGAAGTTCATGCTCCTTCCCCAGACCTGCCTCCCCCTGCCTGCCATCATTTCAGTAACATTTATGGAGCCCTTACTATGTTAGGTTCTGTGTTAGGCACTGAAGGTACACCATGATAAAAAGAACAAATCTATCCAACCCTCTCAAGGGAGGCAGACATTGATCCAAGGATCACTGAACTAGGTATAAAGTCACACTTGTGCCAAGTGCTATGATAGAAAGGGACACTGCTATGACAGTGTATAGTAGGGGATCCTGACATAGTTCGGGAGGTCAGTGGAGGCTTCTTTAAGGAAACAATGTTTGAGGATGAAGGAGAGGCTAAGCGAAGGGGAGATCATTCCAGGCAGAGGGAACAGCATGGACAAAGGTCCTGTGACACGACCGAAGGAGTCCACCCTGTCTGGAGCCCAGAAAGTGAGGGAGGCAGAGTTAACCATGTGGCTGAGGTGGACAGGAGCCAGACCACACAGGGTTTTGTCAGCTCCTGGAAAGATTTTGGCATTTATTTAAAAGCAAGACCAAAGTCTGAAGGCCTCCTTTGTTCCCTCTCTCACCTATTTCTTCTCTCTCCCTTCTCCCTTCTGCTGACCATATCCTATTGCCTGGGCTGCTGGGTCCTCAGGCAGTCTAACGGCTGTTCCCAGAACTTCTTTTCCTTCTCTCGCCATCAACCTTTGAATCCAAGATTTTTCCATCTGGAAAGGACCTCAGAAGACATTAACTCCAGTCCCCTCATTTTATTTATTTAAGAAAAACAAGACCTTGAGAAAGCACAAAGGCCATGGTAGACCCTGGTCTCTGACTTCGTCTCAAGCTTTAGGTGGGTTAGAAAGGATGGAGCTCTATTATCCAATAAAGTAGTTCCTAGCCACATGTGGCTGTTGAAATTTAAATGAACTAGAATGAAACATTCAGTTCCTTGTTCACCCTAGCTACATTTCAAGTGCTCAATATCCATAAATGGCTGATGGCTATATCACAGATATAGACCATTTCCATCACTGCAGTAAGTTCTATTTACCGTGCTAGCATTTAAGCTTGATATTTTAAAAAATCAGAGGAAAGCATGGTGAGAGTGGAGAATTCAAATAGCTATGGCTCAGTTGGCCCAGGGCCTAGAGTGGGATTGGGTCAGCATCGTCGTAGCCGCCCCGGTTCCCTTCCTGAATTCTGGCCACAGCATCTTCAAAGGCCTGGACTGGTACCATTCTCTGTCACTCTCTCATTTTACAAATAGTGATTGCACGCCTGCTATGTGTCAGGCACCAAGCTCGGTGCTGAGCATGCAGCAGAGAATAGGATTTGTTCTGGGGGTGATGGTTGCTCACACCATTAAGATGTATTGAGGTTAGGGATTTGAGGACAAGGCATCTAACCTAAGACTTGCAAAATGAGTAAGAGGTGGGGGTGGGGGGTTGGAGGGATGGGAAGGTAAAAGGAAAATGGTTCCAGAGAGAGGGTTTGCATGTGCAAATCAAGAGAGAACGTGTTCTAGATGGCACATGTAGGACAATAGAAGTGAGATGAGGCTGGTACAGTGGGTGATGGCCCACTCATGAAGGGATTTGTGAGCCAGGGGCACTGGGGGGACAGGGAAGGGTTTTGGGACATGGGAGGTACAACTTTGGCATTCCTGTAGATACCTGGCATTACCAAGGCCATTTAGATCTGGAGATGGGTGACTGGCTGGGGGACTCCAGTCTGTGCCCCACCTAGCTATTGGGTGGGAAAAAATGAAGAGTCATGTGATCATTAAAATCACAGCTGCAGGGCCGGCTGAGTGGCGCATTGGTTAAGAGCTGGCTTGGGACACCAGCTCTGTGAAGCAGGGCCCTGGTTCGGATCCCACGTGAGGGCCAGTGACACTGCCCTCTACAGCTAAGATGGTGAACAACAGCTCGACCTGGAGCTGGGCTGCCATGAGTCACCGGCTACGGCGTTGGCTGCAGCCCTTGCTGCAGTGGGCTGCCATAAGCTACCATGTGTGGCCAGCAGCTAGTGTGAGCAGCTGGCAGCCGATGTGAGCTGCCAAGAACCGCTATGAGCGGCCATCCAGAGGCCGGTGACCAATCTGCCTCACCTGGGAAGAGTGCAATGAAAATACCAACATGGGCCAGTGAAGTGACTTCCTCCACAACTAGACAGAAGAACAAAAGGACAGCAACTTGTCTGTTCCCCTTCCCCAGATTCCCCAGCACTGTTCCCCTCCCCCAATTCCCCAATTAAAAAAAAAAAATCACAGCTGCACACTTGACATACATGACCTAGTTTAATCCTTACCACCATTGTATGAGGTAGGCACATTTTTTATTCCTATTTTTAAAATGAGAAAACTGAAGTTCAGCAACATTAAGTAGCATGCCCAAGGGATGGTGAAGCCATGTTCCAAGCCCATGCTTGACCAACTGAGCCTAAAGCCTGAACTCTTGATGCCTTCACTCTCCATTCCCAGCTGCTCTTTGGATACTCCTCCAGTCCAAATACACCAGGCTGGTCCTAGTATATTGTTCACTGTTTCCTGAGCTTGCCCCATCATGCCTGTGTTCTTTTCACATGCGGTTCCTTCTGCCAGGCCTACTCTCCTCCTTTCACTGATAAAGTCCATCTTGCCCTCTAGACCCAGCCGTGCAGTCCCCTGCATGAGCAGGCCATCTTGGGTTTCTCAGATGAGGTTGCACACTCCCCTCTTCTTCCCCTGTCTTCTAGGATACCGCCCACCGAGATGGGCTGCCTGCCCTTTCAAATGGATTCTCACATCCCTGAGGGTACCAGCTTGTGTGTCCAGGGGGACCCCAGGCCACAGAATGCCCGGAGCCTCCATTCTACTGTACCATCTTGTGGATAAAGCTAGATGACTCTAAGTGCACTTAAGACACATCAAATTAAAGTAAGCACAGACACAGTGTGAGAAGAGTGTAAAATTTGCAAAAATTTTAAAGTTAAAATATGGGGACTTCAAAGACATTTTCAGTCTGGCTGCTTTCAGCTGTGCCCCCCAGCTTCCCGTGAGGGAAGCAGTCGCTTGCCTTTGCTGACAGGTGACTTGCTGGAAAAGTCTGGGAAGCTCTGGCCTCCAGAAGGTAATGATTTATTTATATTTCTGTCTCTTGCACCAAGGCGGGAGCTCCCAAGGGCAGAGACCAGATCTGATTCATCTGTGAGCCTCCAGTGGCCCAGCAGAGAACTGAGCACACAGCGGATGCCCTTGGAATAGTAATAACGGTAATAATAGCAACAGTAATAGCTAATACCTACAGCACTGAGGATATGGCAGGCACTGCTCTAAGTGCTTGACATGTATTAATCTAGTTAGTCCTCACCACAGCCCTATGATGTGGATATTATTGCCCCCATTTTACAACTGAGTCAACAGGCACAGGGAGGTTAAAAGCCTTGCCCCAAGTCACAAAGCTCGTGAGTGGTAGAGCGGGTGTATTCGCTTAGCTAGTCTGGCTCCACATCCCACATTCATGTTACAGTGCCCATTTAACTGAATGTTTATTAAATGAATGAATGAATGAATCAGTGAACTTGCTCAAGACCATATTTAAGAAGTCTGTTTAATAACAGCAAAAGAATATGCTCCGGCTCCAATATTAAGTGAAAACATCAGCAGTGAAATATTACACGTAATTTGACTGCAATTAGGGGTGCATAAGGAAAAGACTGTCAAGAACAAGTATATTCCACAATCCCACAAGCACTATTCTGGGTGATTTCTGATTTCATTTCTCTATCCTTGAAATTTTCTACATTAAAGAAACTATTATCCTTATCATGAATTAGAAAAGAAACAAATCTTTATTATGGAAAATGGAAGTCTATGGACAGGCTTATAAATCTCCCTGAAATCCTTCCACTTTTGTTCTTTTTTTGTTTCATCTTTTTACTTTCAAGCTTTCTGTTTTAGTTGGGTCTCTTCTATTTAGCATATAGTACAGTTTATTTTTTTTATTCAATCAGATCATTTTTTTCTTTTAGTGGGCGAGCTTATCCAATTTATAGTTGTCATTTTATTTTATTTGCATTTAAAAAATAAATTTGATATGTGATCTGGGTTTTCTTTATTTTGTATATTTTTATTCTGAAACTTTGGAGTTAATTTTCTACCATTTATTGAGCACTTACTATGGGCCAGACTCTGTTCTAATAATTCTTCCATTGTTACCTAATTTTAACATCTCAATAACCCTATAAAGAAGGTGCTATTTTTATCTATTACACCCATTTACAGGGATGAAATGGGGGCTTAGAGAGGCTAAATTGCTTAAGGTCACATGGTGAGCGAGTGGTGGAGCCAGGGTCACTCCCAGATCTGATGCCAAATCTTGTGACTTATCTGTTGTGCTATAGGCCTTTCCATCTTCCCCAAACTTGAGGCTCGGGTTGTTCTCAGGGAATGGGGCTAAGGTAGTTTGTTGATTTCCTCTCTAACCCAGAATAAGACATTATGTAAACCTCTTTATATCACAGCCGGGCCAACACAAACTTTTACTCTCTCCCCAAAGCCCAAGTTCACCCAAGAGTGGTCCTGACTATCCCTGGGAAGTCAGTCCTGTCTGGGTCCCCTCATTCCCCCCTAACCTTCACCCAGTTCTCTTACCTGGCTACCTGGTTGATGACAGGAGCAAAGTAGGTGGGCCCATAGAGCTGCACTGTGCGCAAGCTCTGGAAGTAGCTCTCCAGGACGCCTTCAATGCCCACACAGTTGGGGTCCTCATCATTGTTGTTCTGTTAGGGAAGATGCCCCGCTGCGCTGAGCCCATGCAGGGTAAGCCCAGGAGTGCTCTGATCCCAGCTTCCTCCTTCCCTTATCCATCACTCTCTTTCATGCTCCCCTCCAAACTCCTGCCCTGCTCCCCTCCCTGCTCTCCTACCCTATCATAGCTTCCTGCTTCGTGCAGGTCCATGACCCTTAGAAGAAATGTAAATGGGAGAAATTGGTCAACTTGGGTGGGCCAGATGCCAGGGCATGGGGTGTAGGCTCTGGCCCATACCATACCAGGGGGAACTGATGGGAGATCCGTCCCTCTGGGGGCAGCTTGGCCCCAAAGCCGTAGGCCGGGAAGAGCTTGTCACTGTCATAGTCCTGGATGATTTCTCCTACTGCCTTGAGGGCCATGGCATAGGCGCTGAGCTGGTAGGGACTCATGTAGTGGAGGGAGGTGGGCTGCAGGGGGTTCCCTGTAGGGACACAGGAGCCCCAGCCTCATGGTCACCTTGCTCATCCATCAATTTACCTGCCTATCCATGTATGCATCCATCCACCTACTCATTTATCTACACTTTACTCATGTACTTCCTCATTATTTTACCCAATCATCCATATGTTCATTTATCCAGCTATCTCCCCACCAACCCTTATATTTATCCACCAATTTATCGCCTACCCATATATCCATTCATTCATCCACTGGCATAAATCCATCTTTCAATCTATCTATCCATTTCTGTCCATTTACTTATCCATCCATCCGTCCGTCCACCCATCCGCCTGCCATTTCTCTTCCTTTCCCATCTATCCATATAGCCATAATCTTTTGTCCACCCACCCATCTACCTCTATCCATTCCATTCATTCACTTGTCTGCCTATCCTTATATGGAGCTATCCACCTGTCCACTCATTCATTCCCCATCTACTTACCTGTTGTTTCCCCAATTTAAACATCTGTCCATTTGTCCACCCACATACCCATCCATGCATCCTATTGTACTCACTCATCAATCCATCTACTCTCTTTTTGTTCATCTATCTACCCACCCAGTCATTACTCACAACGCATTCATCTCTCTTTATACCCCTACTCTCTCCCGTCCATTCATTTACTCATTCACTTCTTGAGCTATCCTTACAACTTCCTCTTACCCACCTATTTCCCTGTACTTCCTACCTACCCTTACACCCAATAATCTCCCCCCAACACTCCTGCTCCAGTACCAGCCTGGTTGGGCTTTGCCTCAAGCCTAGGCTCCCTGGGTAAATGAACTCTTATCCCTAGCTTGGGATCCAGGCCAATCCCTAAGGACTTTCTTAGACTTCATCCACACCCCATTCCCCTTCTGTGCCTCACCATTGGAAGCTGTGAAGTCAATGGCTACTGTGAAGTTCAGCTGTGTCCTGTCAGAGAAGTAGATGGATTGAGAAGTGAGGGACTAATAGTTATACCAGGATTTCTCAAACCCTAGAGTGCATATGAGTCACCTGGGGATCATGCTGAACTGTGGATTCAGATCTGGATGGTCTGGGTGGAACCTGAGATTCTACATTTCTAACAAATGCCCAAGTAATGCTGATGGTCCACAGAGCACATTTTGGGTAGCAGAATTAAATGCCTACTGTGACAAGTGTATTATATGTAATTTAACCTAATCTTTACTGTAGCCCTGGAGTAGTAATTAACATCTCCATTTTACACAGGAGAAAAGTGAGGATCAGAGAAGCAAAGTATCTTTCCCAGGTTTGCCTGCCTCCACTGAACCAAGCAGAATGTCCCTGTAGTCAGCTTGGCTCATCCCTCTCATGGCTTCTCCCTCTTGCCTGGCCATAACTTTTGTCTGGGTCCCAGTCAGGTTACTGGGGCCATCTTTGAAGACCACTGGTCTGGCATCTTCTCGGGGTACGGAAAACTAGGGATGAAGCCCCAGGAAGAGAAGTAAGATGGGCAACACTATGCATTTTACAGAGTACTTTATAGTTTGCCGAGTGCTCCAAAGTTTACCTCCATGATCTCATTGGACCCTGATCATTCATAATAAGAAAACTAAGGCTCAGGCCTGGGAGGAACTCATTGTTTTAGCCCAGAGCTTGGCCTGTGACTCACCCTCCCTTGATGTAATCCACAAAAGTGAATTCAGAGTCCACAGAAAAGGAGAGCAGCGTCACCTGTGGGACAGAAAAGGCAGCCCTGCTACTTTGGAAAGGGCAGTTGTGGTGGCAGAAGGAAAAGAGGCATGTGATGCCACCTCCTGCCCTGCCCTGTCCAATTCTGAAAAAGGCAGAAAGGGGGAGATGTCAGAAACATTTGGAATTCAAAAAGTATATTAAATTGGGAAATACACTTAGGTTTCTAAAAAAAACTATGCAAAAGAGTAAACATCAAAAAATTTCCATAAGTAAGAAAAAAAAAGGAAAAACTTAAAATGGTGCCACCTTGTGCTCAACATTACTAATCCAAGTAATCTGTGCCCACAGCCTTCCTGTACCCCTAACATTTGTCATGCTATGTCAGTGCGATAGAAACAGAAAGATCCAGGAAGCTGGAGCTCCCGGGAGCACTCACAGTTCCCGAGTTGACGTATTTCTTCTTCTTACATTTCTTCCGAGGGTTAAGTACCTGAGTGAAGAAGGTAACAGTGATGGTGGGAAACAGGAAGGGAGCTACAGACTGAGCACACGGGGGTGGAGGGAGGACCTGGGCAACCTGGGCAGGGCTGGAGCTCTCACCTCATACACTGTGAACTGGTTCTGGGCCTTGCTCAGCTCCCGGTAGCTGGTGGTGAACTCTCCAATGAAGTCATGGCTGCAACGAGGAGGCCAGGGGTGGGTGAGCAGCAGCTGCTGCTGGCTTAGAGCCAGCGCTAAAACCAGCCTTTTATTCTCACTATCCCTTGCCTCTACTTGGGCTGCAGAGGCACTGGGACTGGGGCCAGAAGAGGGGCCAATCTAAGGCGAAGAGACGGGAAGAGACAGTGTACCAGAGAGACCACTGAGGGGATCAATTGTATCCAAGGTCCTGGCATCTTTCATCACCCTTCCTGGCTCCCAAAGCCACTTTGGGGTTCCTAGAGAATGTACTACATATTATAGGGGACTCTTTGGGTTAGGTACAGGAGAAGGCAGTACCCTGTGGGGGCAGTTCTACCTTCCATCCCGGTCCCAGTCGTATACATCAATCTTCACTGTTCTGAAATGCAGAAGATAAACACAGGCTGAGTGTGTATGATAAATCCTAGAGACATCCCCATCCCTTAACTATACACAATCATCCTCCCATCCACCCATCAGTCCTTCCATCAATCTTCTTCCCATTTGTCCATCCATCCTATCTATTCATTCATCAGCCCATGCACATACCCAACCATCTACTGACACTACCACTAACATGCTACTACTGCTATTTGTACCACTATTGCTATTCTTTTACCATTTACTGAGTCTGACTATATATGTTTCAAGCATTGTCCTCAGTACATACACAAATTGTCTCATTTACTTTAACAACCACCTGATAAAGTACTATTATTCTTATTTTTGGATAAGGAAACTGAGGTTACAAAAAAAACAGCTACTTGACTAAGGACCATAAATAGTACGTGACTGAGCTGAGATTTAAACTCAGACATCCAGGTTCCAAAGACCTTGTTCTTAACTACTATGCCTAAGTCATCCCCATATGTCCATCTATTTATGTGGCAGTCCATTCAACCATCTGTCCATCCATCTAGCCACCCATTTATTTACCCATACATTTGCCAGTCCAATTACCCATTCATCCCTATCCTTGTCTACCATCTAACTAAACATCCAGCCATTCCTTGACTCACTGATGCATGCAAGCATCCATCTGTCCATTCATCTATCCAACCAAACACCCAGATACCTGATACCTGTCCATCTGATATTCCATTCATCTACATAACCATCCATTTGTGTCCATCTATCCTCACTGTCCATTTATTAGTTCATATGGTCAGCCTATCCATATACTTTACACTCATCCATCAACTAATCCATCTATCCATTTACTGTCCATTCATCTGTCTATCCATCAATCTATTGTCACTCTACCTATTTATCCTCCTACTTTTTCAATCATCCCTCTACCTCTCCAGCCATCCACCAATCTCTCACATACCCATCCATTCATTTATACATTTACTCATCCATCCATTCACTAATCCATCCCTCATCTGTCCATCCACTAATCTACCCATCAGTCCACATATCTGTTCATATGTCCACATATCTACCCCCTCTACCTACCCACCAATCTTCTTATACACCCATCCATATACCCATCCATCCATTCACCAGTTTATCCATCCATCTGACCATCCATTCATGTATCTGTTCATTTATTTATCCTTCCATCCATCCATCCATCCATCCATCCATCCATCCATCCATCCATCCATCCATCCATCCACCTATCCATTCACGTGGCTATCTATCTGCTTCCCCATCCACCTATCTCCATGCTCGAAACTCTGTCTCACTGAGCAGGATCCTCTAACACTATTATGACACTTCCGCCATCATTCTGGGGCCCAGGAACCCCCCTCTCATGCCCTTGTCCCCTTATTCCCTAGCTTATGGTTAAGCAGACCTATCATAGTCTCCATTGCACAGTGCCCGCACAGGGATGCTGAAGGGCTGCCACACTGGGTTCAGTGTATTTTTCACAACCTCTGTCTTGTGGCAGATGGTGAACCTGGAGGGGAGCAAGAAGATTGGAACCAACCTTTGGGGTAGGACTGAGCCCAGAGACAGGGCCTGATACTCTTGGACATTCCTGGGATTCTCCTACTTGTTAAGCACATATTGTGTGCTGCCTTGAGTGAATTCTGGACTCAGGTCCTGGTGGAGCCTAAGATGCCCCACACCCAGCCTAAGAGCTCTAATGGGCCCATGGTCACAGTGGGGCAGGCGGGATACTACGGGAGAAGACAGTGACTCACGTGCCATCCTCATTGCTCCTATAGAACACAAGAAAGGGGTCTGATTTCCCAAAGAAGTCCTTCTTGTCCAGCTTGTTTGCACACAGCTGCATGGTAGCAATGTCCTAGGGATGAAGTTAGGCTGTTGACACTCAGATTTCCCATAGCCTCAGAAGGCCCACTAAAGGGAGTTTAGGGAGAGTAGGGAGCCTCCTGGGTCTAGCAGGTGGCCCTTACTGACCCGACAATTGCTAAGCTCCTCTGCGGTCAGCAATATGGTCCCACACTTCTTGCCTGGTACACCCCTGGAAGCAGAAAAAGCCTCTTTGTGAGGGGAGAGAGTAGGCAACAAGGATTGGGGTGGCCAATCAGGGATTGGGTGAACCAAGGGATTCAATTGCCATTTACTGACAGTCCCCTGAGTGTGTCCCCTTCTGTCCTGGGTGGCTCTTGGTGGGAAAGGGCCTAACTTTGGGGAGGGTTCTATAGTCTAGAAGGATGGGGTTAATGTTGCCTAGGGGGATATTTCATCATGGTAGCATGGGATAGACATAGGATTTAGAGTCCTGGGCAAGTTATTTCCCCTTTCTTTGGGCTGTAGCTTTCTATTCTGTGAAATGGGAATCATGCCCAGTCTCAGGGCTGCAAAGAGATCTGAATGTATGCATGGAAGGAAAAGTGTTATAGATTTGAAGGTGGCTATATTTCTCAACGCAGACCCTGGTATCTACTATATGCCAGGCACTGTGCTAGGTATGAATTGGCCAGTTGGCCCTCTCCAGCTCTGCTAGACCCTGCCCTAGGGGAGCTTCCAGGGGAAAGTGGGATGTCAAAGCCAATAGGCAAATGGAGTGTGATGTGGCCGTCCTGAATGAGGGAGAGGAATGTCTATCTAGACCTGGGGCAAAAGACTAGTTTGTTAGGTCAATGAGGCTGTGCTTTCTGAAGACTGTGAGGAGTAAAATAAAAAAGACAAGGGAAGCCTTACCTCCTCCTGACCCATGTGCAAGAAGGGTGCATACCAGGACACCCATCCCCAACTTGCCTTGGGTCTCCAAGAAGTCAGGGACCTTGTAGATATGGGCCTGTGAACCCTGAGGTCCCCAAAAGGGATCCAAAGTGTGGCAGAGAGAAAGCTAGGTCAGGGGTGTCCTGGGTTCAAGTCTGACTCCCAACTTGCTATATGATTTTCCCCATCTTTAAAATGAGAATGTTGAACCATTTCTTTGGCTCCTTCGATTTCTGACTCTTTGTGCTTTAAAAAAAGACAAGTGTGATGAGTACAGGGACTCTACCTGTACGTCCAAGACAAAGTCACTGATCCTACTGCCTTCTCACTGTTCACCTCTGTAGTGTTCTCCCTCATTTCCTCACCCATGTGAATTCCAGTCAGTGATTATAATAATGACCACCTTGCATCCTACCCCTTTTCCTTTGCCCTTCTCTTACTTTGATATACTTATTTGGCTGAACCACAGCCCTAGTTAAATCCAATTCTCTGCCTAACCCATACTGCACCTATGCACCTGAATATGGCCAGAGGGAAATGCTGCATTTCTAGAATTTCTAAACCACCACCATGCTAACTGGTCTCTTTCTAAATGCATGGCCGCAAAGAGGGCCCTTAATCATACCGTACATCTCAAATCCCTTCGCTCTTCAGCTCTGCTAGATAGCAGTTTCACTCCTCCTCCTCTCTCCTCAGACCTGAAAAGCCTCCTCCCCCATCCTCACGCTCAGCCAATCACCTTGTTTCCTACTTCACTGACAAAACTGAAGCAACCAGAAGAGAATGTCCACAGACAACACCACCACTCCTCCCCTGCCTCCAGTACCTTCACCCACACAACTGTGTCTTCCTACTGTTGCAATAAATGACTACCCATGTGCCTATTTGTCCCTCCACTGTGTGCTACATTCCACACCCTCTTGCCTACACAGGACATCACTCTAGCAATCCCTTCTCCCTCTTTTAGTTATGTCAATGTTTCAGTCTCTACCAGGTCATTCCCATTAACAGACAAATGTGGCATAATTTTTCTCATTAAAAAATTACAAAACTATTCTTGACCTCACTTTCCTTTACAGCCACCTTTCCTTTTCTCCTCTCTCCTTTGCAGCAAAACGCCATGAAATATTCCTTGACTCCCATTCCTGTCTTCATTCTTTTCTAAACCTCTCCAACTGTCACCCCCACCTCTCCTTCTAAACTTGTCAGAGTCACCAGTGACCTCCATCTTGTTAAATCTAATGGACAATTCCCGGTCCTCACCTGACTTGACCTGCAGCAGCATCTGACATGGTTGGTCACTCTCTCCTCCTTGATGCTCATCCTTCACTTTTCTTCCAGGACAACACCACCTTCTCTTGATTCTCCTCCTACTTCATGAATGTTCCTTCTTATGTCTCTTTTTTTAGTTCTAGTTCCTGGAGTCTCACTCTCTCCTCACTGCCTTGACAAGCTCATCTAGTCTCATGGCCTTAAAGGGCCTCTAAGACTCATGTATCTTATTGCACATTTGACATGTCCACTAGGATGTCTAATAAAAATTATGAAATTCAACAAGTCAGACTGAACTCCTGATTGAATCCACCCCCCCCTACCCCCAAATTACTCCTCCCTCACTTAAAAAAAAGGGCAGGAACCTTTGTTTTGTTCACCATTACAACCTAAGCCCCTTGAAGAATGGCTGACATAGAGTATATATATTTTACCATCTCAGTTATGGCAACTCTATCCTTCCTATTGCTCAGGCCAAAGGCCTTGATGTCATCTTTATACTCCTCTTTTCCTCTCACATCCATACTCAATCTGTCAGGAATCTGTTGGCTCCACCTTCAGGATATATACAGAATCTGACCACTTCTCCCCTCCTTCACTGGTACCACCCTGGATTACTGTAATTGCCTTCCAGTTGGTTCTCTGCTTCTACCTTTGTCCACTGAAGGTTTATTCTAAATCAGCAGTCAGCACCATCCTTTGAAAGCATATTCATCAGATCATGTCACTTCTCTGCTCAGAACCCTCCAGTGACTCCCATCTCAGAGTAAAAGCTCAAGTCCTTACAGTGGCTCCAAGGCCCTGTGAATTCTCCAACCTCACCTCCTCCTGTCCTTACCCCTTGCTCACCTGGCTCAAGCCACACTGGCATCTTGCTGATCTTTGAATGTATGAGGCTTTTGTACTGGCAGTTTCCTCTGCGTGGGACTTTCCTCCTCCAGATATATTTGCATGGCTCACTCCCTTACTTCCTTCAGGTCATTGCTCTGAAGTTACCTTTCCAAGAGGCCTACTTAACCACTTTGTTGAATATTGCAACTCCCACCCACCCAGCATTTCCAATCCCCCTTAATTCTGCTCTACTTTACCTTTCCCCCCATGGCACTTAATGTCTTCTAATATATTACATAATTTACTTATTTATTATGCCTTTTTTGTACCCCTCCCTCCATTCTATAGCATAAGCTTCCTGAGGACAGGAACCTTTGTTTTGTTTACCATTACAACCTAAGCCCCTTGAAGCGTGGCTGACATAGAGTATATGCCCAGTAATATTTGTGGAATGGATAAATCCCTGGTGCCTAGCACAAGGTAAGGCGCACAAAACATGCTTATAAATATTTAGTGAGTAATGGAAATTCTAGAGGACTTGATTAAGTGAGGGGAAGCCTCCTGGAAGAGGAGGGCTTGGAAACGGACCTTAAAGGTTGAATCAGGCTTAGGAAAAAGTGAGGTAAGAAAGAGACAGAGATGGCAAGTCAGGCCTGAGACCGACTTGAGCAAAACCCTGGAGATTGTGCAGTTCCCGGCAAGGGTAATAGGAGCCATTGAAGGCTCCTGGCCATAGGGAATCCCAGCCTCCAGTACTATGGGGTCAGCAGCGTCTTTGAGAGGAGAATTTGGAGGCACCCATCCTTCCCCCCTTGCCCCTTCCAGTTCAGCTCACGTGAGGGATCGTTCTACGCGGCTGCCCTGACCTCCGATCACCTCTCCCAGGGCCAGGAACGCTTGTCCCAGGAAATCCTGCACCGGGACATGGAATCAGCGAAACCAGGAGGGGCTGGGACCAGCCCAGCCCTGGTGATCAGCCCAGCTCAGGTACAACGACCAGGGTATTCCCAGGCGGCGGGACGTCACTGGAGGAGGAGCGGGAGGGGAGTCCCTCGGCAAGCTCCTCTTCTAGGTCCTGCCATTTACTTTAAGCTGCTCTCCAGGATGCCATCCCAACCCTCACCTCCACCCTCTTCACCCTGCCCAGCCCGGTTCAGCCTCACCTTCTGCGGGTCCCAGCAGCGGCCGAGAAGAAAGAGGAGCAGTGAGTGAGAGGAGCAGTGAGTGGGAAGCCGAGGCAGGAGCAGGAGAGGAGGGCCGGGAGGGTGGGTTGGGGCCAAAGAAGGTGGAGTGGGGTTGAGGGTGTAGGAGGGTTCCAAGGAGGATCGTTTAACACCCTGAGCGCCACCTGTGTGCCCAGCCCGCAAGGGGACGCTCGCTCACCGGTTTGGAGATGTTGGTTTTGGAGTCGACGTTGTACCTGAAAAGAGTGGAAGCAGCGTGGGGCGGGGCTGGTGGGAGACAGCCTGGAAAAGCGTTCGGGTTTCGAGTCCTAGTTAAAATTGTGGGTTGGCAAAGGGGGGTGGCTTGGGCCCGAATTCAACCTGGGTCTCCTGTGGGACGGGAGTCAGGGTCAGAGAGGGTCAGAGAGGGCGAGGCCAAGTCTAGGGCATGCTGGGGGGGGGCGGGGAAATATGGTGGGCGGGACTTAGACGGAGGCGGAGCTAAATAACACAGTTGTGGGCAGAACTAGGCAGGGCCAAGTTGGACTTGGGGGCGGAGCTAACACTAGAGTGGAGCTCTTTAGAGTGGGACCAAACTGGGCCTGGGGGAGGAGCCTGCCCAGGAGGCCAGGTGGGGGCGGGGGCTGGGCCAGCCAGAATTTCAAGAGGATCCAGGTCGGGGGCGGTCCAAGCCAGAATTCTGGGCGCGGCTCACACATCGAAGCGCAGATTTTGCTTTTCTTCAAAGAAATAGTCAAGGACGAATTTGCGCACGAAGTCAGGGTTCAGCGTATTGTCGATCACCTCGGTCCGTCCGAACTGGATTGGGGTGGTGGGGGGCGTGCCGGGAGTCAGCGCGGGATCTGCAAGGGGGCAGGTGATTCCCGGGGGGGGGGCAGCTCTGGGCTGGGAGAAGACTCAGACTCACCTCCCGCCACTCCTGGCTGGCCCGGCTCTGCGTGTAAAGCACCACCACTGCAGGCGGGAGCGGGGGCGGGGAGGGAAGGATGTCAGGTCGGTCCGCACCCCCTCCCCGCTCCTCAGTCGCGCCCGCACACCAAGTTCCCCCTCACTCCGCCCTGGTGCCGCCTACTGGGGTCGGACTTGGAAAAGGTGTCGAGGTCCAGCAGGTTCCTAGAGAAAGTGAGAGACAGACGGACAGAGGGTAGGTCATTCTGAAGCCCACCGCCTCGACTCTGCCCCGAGTTGGGTACCCGAGAGACGCACGGGACTCAAACTGCACCTCCCTCTCCCATTACTACATCCAGCTGGGGGTCCTCGATGTTAGCATCCTGGACAGCACCGGAAGTCTTAGCCCAAGGACCGTGTCCCTGCGGACTGGACGCCTATGCGTCCCCACTGTCTCCAGGAGCCCAGGAAAGAGGGTTAGCCCCAGAACTTTGTCTACCTGGGGCCCAGATCCTACTGGATCCCAGAGACCCACCCCTTGAATCAGCAGGCTGAGTGAGCCGTCCTTTGCGGGTTGGGCTGTTCAAGGAAACCCCCTCTCCGAACCCACCAGGGTCTCCCGGCAGTCTTCATCCGAGATTTTCCGGCCCCGGATGCTTCTTCCCCCGAGGTTGAGCCCCGGAGCCGGCTGGGGCTAGGGCAGTGCCTAAACCCTCCTCAGCTGGCCTGCTCACCTGCAGGATACGGTAATTTCAATCTTGGTGGCCGGGACGCTGCGCTCAGAGGCTCCGCTGAGAGACATGGCTGGTCGGGTGGCCGGAGCCGCAGGAGGCTAGGGGCGGCGGCAGCGGCGGGGTCGGCCCATGTGCCGCCGCGGCGGCGGCTGCACTCCCTCCAGCCCTGCGTGCTCTCCAGCCGCACACGCCTTGACTGTGGCCGCCGGCGGCAGCGACTCCAGATGGCAACACAGCCCCGCCCAGCCCTGCGGGTGGCCCCCGCCCCGTTGGAGCAGCCTCCGGAACCTTATCCAGACCCCAACTCCAACCCAATCTTGTGAGTCCTTCCAGCGCATTTCTCTGGGGCAAAACCCAAGCCCCCGAGAGCTGTCCGCGGTGCTGAAGAGTTTGGGGCGCCTGGTGAGCGAGGGGGACGTTTCTTCTTCCAGAGCCTTCCCTCAACACTCTGCTTCTCCCCTTTCCCACTCCCGCCCTGCCTAAGTCTCTGAATAGGAAGAGTTACACATTTGTTCTCATTAGCTGTGTGACCTTGGGTAAGTTACTCAGTATCTCTGTGGCTCAGTCTCCTCCTTGGTAGAAAGGCCATGACAACACCTACTTGTGCTGTTGTAAAATTTTGTCGAGACAATCCATGGAAAGGACTGAGCGCAGGGGATTGTACATAGTAAGTTCACAAGAATTGTTCATTGGTATTGTTTCCTTCAAGGAATTTGCACCAATGATCTCTTTTGTGTTTATACTCGGAGCTCAGTGAATGGTGGCTGTTAACACTATGCAAAGCCCTTTGCCCAGACCTTTGAACCTTCATGACTTCATGGTGCACTCTGTGAGGATGCAACCCACGCTAGGTCACGCTGTATGTAGATGAGTGGTGGTCACCCAGATCCACCCTCCCCACACAAACTACTGCTTCCAAAGCCCCAGAAGCCAGTACCTCCACCATAGGCAGGGGCTGCAGGTCACCTGTACCAGAACTGTGCGATGTGCAGAACTTGTTAAAAATGAAGACCCCACCCCCATTCCCAGCTAAATGAAGATCTCAGCAACCCCAAGTCTAAATTTCAGGCAGCCCTGGGAATCTGCGTGGAGAAACAGGTGACTAAGGCCCACTCAGGCATGAGGACCACTGTTCCCACAACAGCCTGTCCCCATCGCACTGAGGAGACTATCAGGGCTCAGGAGTCCAGGTACACTTGTCTCGCTTACTTCCTGCTTCATCTGCCACTCCCCCCCACCCCATACCCCTTCTTCCACCACAATGGACAGTAAGAACCTTCCAAATAACTCCAATCCACAAAGACAGCAACAAAATGAGGATGTCAGAGAGCTGCTGTTCCAAAAGACTTTGATTTTATTTTATCTGTGTCAAACCACCTGTTCTCAGTGCAGGTGACCCCCTCCTCCCCAGGAAACAAGACTGGAATGGGGGTGTCTTTCGTGAAGTCTCAGCCTCCACAAGGCCTGAGAAACCCCACAGTTCTGAGAGTTGGCGGGAATCCTGGCAGAGAGTAGGGTGAGTGGGAGGCAGTGACGAGGGATGGTGGTCACCAGCCAGGGGTTGGAGAACTGTGTCCTTGACCCTGCTTGGCTTTGGGCTGCCATCTGCATGATGGAGAAGGGGGAGTGAGGTTTCCCCCGACTGTGAAGCACTCCTTGGCTGGGCATGGCTTTGATTCCGCTCAGGGCTCAGGTGAGAGAAGGAAACTGTCGTGGATTGGCTGCTTCATAAGGTGCTGCTGCCGGTGCCCCGGAGTCCGACACCACGGACAAACTGCTCCAGTAGGCCCCCAATGGCACCGGAGGGACTGGGGGCTGCTGCCCGAAGCCCCACTGTGCTGCTGTATGCAGCCAAGAAGATTGAGCGCACCTCCTGCAGCCGAGTCTCCCGCTCACTCAGGGCTACAAGCCTATGGTGAGGGAGAGAGAAAAAACAATGAATGCATTACCTTGGGGCAGGATCCAAGATCCTCACTCTCAAGCCACAATGCTATCTTTCTGTCTTCACTAGCACAAGGCCAGCACCTGTCCTGTGTTCACACTACCCTTGTGGTCCAGGCCCCCGATATGTGACCCCATTTCCCTCTTAAACCATTCCTCTCGGTTCTCAGGCTACTGTTCCTTATGCAGCACTGGCCTGACTTTTCCATGGGAAACCACCATCTCTGTGACGGAGGAGCGGGAAGCTAAGCAGGAGGGGAGTTTGCGCCAATAGCTGCTGGCTTCCATTCCTTATTAAGAACAAGTTGAGGCACACGTCTTACACTTAACTGTAAGGAGAGGCCCCAACATCAGGAATCAGGTCTTGGCTGCCCAAAGGCCTCAGCTTTCTGGAGGCCAGGACCTGGAGCATTCTGGGAGAAAGCTCTGGGCAGTGACCTGGAGAGGCCAGGGCCTTCACCAGAAACCCCTGAGGCTCTCACTACACCTTCAGTCACTGTGGTCCCCAGGTAAACAGCTAGGAGAGTGCTGGCTCTTCCAGCAGGATTCCTGTTCTGATTCTGCTTTTCCTTCCCTGACCTCTACAAGCGCTGAGCGCAGATGGAAGATAGGAAGCCCCTCTTCTCTTCTTGGCCTGGACCTACAAGTCGAGAAGGGGAACAAGTAACATGAAAACAGGCTCATCAATGCATGAATTCCATGAGGCTGTTGGACACCTGGAAGGATTCTTTATTAATGGAGAGGCCTGAAGTGCCAGTCACACCCAGCCTCTGGACTAAAAGATATGCAGTCTAGGGGTGGGAAGGATGTGGAATCAGAGGAAAGGTCAGGAATGCACACGCTGTTCCCTCCAACTGTCCCCCTGGAGGGGGGTGAGATGAGCCCTCCTGTTCCTATCCACCTAAGCACCAAGACTAGCCCTGACCACCAACTTACTCTAGCATGTTCTGAAGAGACCACTCCCTGGCTAATCCCCTCCTGGGAATTTGTCAGAAGCAATAGAAATGTCCGTAATTTCCAAGCCGAAATGACTTGCAACCCAGGGCCTGGGAACAGATGGAGGTGTAAGGATAAATGACAGTTCTGGGTAAGTATGAAAACAGACCTAGGGAAAGTAGACTGGTGCAGTGATGTGTGTGTGGGGGAGAGCGATAAGAAGACAGAAGCAGCGGGCTCTAGGGCAAAAGAAAGTCAAATAGCTCTCGCAGCAGCACTAAGAAAACGGAGCTGACGCTGGATTCCTGCAGTACGGTGAACAACTCCAAAGCCCCTCCTGGCACTGGCGAGAGGTGCATGGTCCTAGATCTTCTTTACTGTCTTAGGTTTCACAAAGACTGGAGGCCATGTGTGCACCTGCAGCTTTTCCTTAGAGCATCTAACTAGGAGAAATTCAGATTAGTAGTTTGTATTTACAGGGAACATCCAAAGGGCCATACGAGTACATTCGCACTGCCCCCTATTTCTGGGAAGCAGAGGGAAAGCGATCACAACCTATTTAGAGACAAGAAAACTGGAGCCCAGAGAGGATATGTGATCCACTTGACACACAGCAGGCAATGAGTAGGCAGGGAATGGAGCTACCATAGTGCCATTTCCTCTCAGGAGATGAGCTGATAGGCTCAGAGAAGTCAAGGCTGACACCCCAAGACACAGCTGGTGAGCAGAGTAGCTAGGATCAGGATTAAACGTCTCTGACAAAGTCCAAGCACTGAACTCACATACTATGTGATCTCACCAGGAAACGCTGACCCCACCCCCACCCTGTAGTCTTGGGGGGCCTGAGATCATGTAGAGCGTATCATCTGGGAGCCATCAGAACCAACCAGAATTCTAAGCTAGGAGCTCAGGAAGCTGCTCAAGGTATAAACTAGGATCTGGGGCTGGAGTTGCCCATTTCAGTGGCTAATGCTAGGTAAATGAGGTGTGTTATCAAGCAGGGGCAGAGATGTCTGTTTCCTCCAGAAATAGCTCTTAAGCCAATATGGTTGAAGCAGTCGAGTCCCTACAGAAAGGTGAAACTGTCGTTTTTAATCCTTCAAAAATCTAAGATAGGGATCTTGTTTCTGGCTTAAGGGCCTGGCTATAGAGGCTGTGCCAGGCACCAGTGGCCTCTGAAGCCCTTGGGCTACTCCCAGCTGCAGGGCAGAGCCTGTGAGCACCATCCTGGAATCCCAAAGTCTAGCCCCTGCCGGCCCTCATCAGGATCCTTCTCAACTCCCCAGC